GACTACATCAGAGTCCAGCAAAATAGAATTACGCAAACCCCGCCCCCCGCCATTATTTAAACTCAGAGGCTGGGAAGAAACCACATCAGGCTTCGTCTCCCTGTCTGGTTGCTTCCCAGAGGTGTGGGTCTACATAAGAAATTAACCTCAGCCGTAAAAGGGAATCAAGAAATTGTACCCCCGTGCCAGCCAAGCTAATGCATGTAGAACAGTCACGTCTCAGTAACTACCCAAGGCTTGGCTAAGGACACCTACTTTCAAGGAGACTGAGGCTCACAGGGGAGAGCGACTGAGTCAGGTTCACACAGTATGTTAGTGGCAGAGCCAGGCTTGAACCCAGGCCAAGTATCACACAATGTAAGAGAGTCTTGCCATTGGACTCAAGATCAAGGTGAAGGTGGTTCACCGGATCATTAAGACGTCCCAGAATCCTTGAATGAGCTCCGGACATGTATAGGGTACAAAGTTGCCCTTGATTATGATTTCTCATGCCCAGGAAGAATACCTGGGGCATGCCTCAAAGTGGCCATGACAAGAGGTTGAAAGTAGCTGTGCCAGGGCCAGCAGGTGGCATGGTGGTTAAGGCACTGGATTCCCACATGGTCAACTGCAGTTCAAGTCCAAGATCAGTCTTGAAAAATCACACCAGGTGTGTATGCATGCATGCCTAAGATCCAAGAAGAGAAGGGATTATGGCATGGCCATCCTCCCTGTGGATGATTTCTTACTTTCCCTCCCCTGTCTCTCTCTGACGAGTGTGCATGCCCTACGGCAAAAACTTAAAAAGAAAAGGGGGAAAAAGTGACTATGCCAGGAGAGACTTGCTAACAACAGAGGTAGGAAAAAGAATCCAACCAGGGCCCTGGGAGGTCTTCATGGAAGGTCGAACAAAGAGTCAGACTGGCTGGGAAGGGCGAGAGAGTGAGCCTTTTAGACGAAAGAGCCTGAGCAAAAGTACGGCTCCCACGGCTGGGTGTGCTTCAGTTTGGCTCTGGTGGGATGGACGTGCCGCTCCTGTGAGGGGTCGCGGTGGTCCAAGTTCCCCACTCCCGGCAAGGTACACAGACAATGACAAGGCCACAGGCCTGGGTCAGACCCATGTGGGTTCAGACCCTGTTTCAGCAAGTTAGTTTTTCACTGGGGAACCGAGGCAACACCCCCACACCGAGGCTCACCTTACCCTTCAGTAAAACAGGGCCACCAAAACCCACCACACAGCAAAGCTTAGGGGCGAGCAGAGAGGATGGATGGCCCTGACGCCAGCCTGCCACTTAGGGAACGTACTGCAAGATGGAGCTTCCATCGCCCCTCATTCCTGCACCCCGGGAAGAGTGGCTTTGGATGAAGACTTGGAGCGGATCCTGTTCGTGGTCAACCTGGGGACCATTACCCCCATGGAGAACGTCGCCATTTTCATCAGCACCTCCTCAGAGCTCCCCACGCTCCCCAGCGGGGCTGTGAGGGTGCTCCTGCCTGCTGTCTGCGCCCCAATTGTGCCTCAGTTCTGCAGCAAGAGTGCTGTCTCCTCCCACCAGCAGGCGCACAGGTAAAGAGACCCTGCTGGGCCAGAGGCAGAGTCTGGTGGGCAGCAGGGAGGCTGGGGGCGTCAACAAGGTGCAGGGGAGGGAGAGAAGGAGCAGAAGGTGAGGCTCACCCCCAGGTGCCGTCTTCTGAGTAGCTTGCCCCCGCTGTGCCCGCTGTCAGAGCATGTAAGCTTCTCCCTGAAATGTCTCTGTATTGGTACTAGTGAGAGGTTCTAGGAGTTGCACAATTTAGGATCAGGAGTTCCAGGGTTTATATGTTGATTCACTCAGTGTTTTCTGAGCACCTACTATGTGCTAGACACTAGCTGCATGTTAGGGATAGAGGGGGAACGAAACCAACATGGTTCCTTGCTCTTTCTGAACTTGGTGGAAGAGATCATTATCCAACTAATAACGCAATGGGCATGTAACTAATTGTGTACTTGACTGCATAATTAATGATGTGAAAAGTGCAATGAAGAAATAGTGCCATGGGCTATGAGGATGAATGAGGGATCAAACCTGGGGATCCAGACTTTCTAGCTAGTGATGTTTCATCTGAGACCTGAACAAGGGGAAGTACGGAGGTCAGAAAGGAGCATGCACACAGGAGGAGCAGCAGGGGTGAAGACCCAGAGGTGCCAAGGACAGCCCCAGAGAGGAACTGCAGCCCAGGCAGCACGTGATGAGGCTGCAGAAACGGGGGTGCCCTGCGGCCCTGGCATAGACTCTGGATTTCTTCCAAAAGCTTTAAGGCGCTATTCAAAGGTTTTCAGCAGGGCTGGGAGGACACAAGGAGCCCAGTACCGGGACAGTTTCCCTGTGCTTCCCTGGTGGAGGGAGAGGGGAAGGAGCGTCACAGCCTGAAGCACCTGCAGCTGAGATCATTTCTATATAAGTAAGTGCTCAGGGCCTGCTGGGGGCATGGTGGCTGAGACAGCTGGATCCCATATGATCGACTTTGTGGTTCGAGTCCCAGACTTGGCAGGTTGAGAAACACACTAGGTGCATATGTGCGCATGTCCAAAATCCTGAGAGGAGAATAGAGGAGAAGGGATTGCAGTGTGGCCTCCCCCCTGAGAGGTGATTCCTCGCTTTCTGTCTCTTTGGCGAGTGCACATGCCCTATAGCAAAAATCTCTCCAAAAATGAACAAAAACATGGTTGCTGCATCAAAAAAAGCAGGAGACTGAATGAGAGTCACAGGACAAGGCAGTCTTGTCAGTTGAAACTCAGTCACACCCGAATGCCATCATGTGTTTTACAAGATGTGTGTGTGTGTGTGTATGTGTGTGTGTGTGTGTGTACATAAAAGAGATAAGAGATTTTTGCTATAGGGTATGTGCACTCACAGGAGACACAGAGAGAGACAGAGAGAAAGTGAGAAATCACTTCTCCCCAGTGGGAAGGGATGGGGGGTGGGGGGAGGGATGGCCACCCCTCAATCCCTTCTCCTCCATTCTCCTCCTGGGATTTTAGGCACACACACACATATCCCTGGCATGAGTTTTAAGCTGCCAGGTCTGGGACTTGAACTGCAGTTGACCATGTGGGAGTCCAGCACCTTAATCACTGTGTCACTTGCTGGCCCCAGCTATGCACATGTATTTTTAAAATTTTGCCAGAGGGTGTATGCACTCACTTGGGAGAGATGAAGGGCAGGAGGAATGAGCAAGCACCCATCCATGGGGAGTGGCCATGCCACAGTTTCTTCCACTCCATCTCTCCTCCCTTTAGGGTTTTGGGGCCTGCATGTACAGGTGCCCAGAGTGTTTCCAAAGCCGCTGAGTCCAGGATTTAAACCAAGCAATCAGCCAGGTGGGATCCAGCTGCCTCAACCACCACACCATGGGCTGGCCCTGTTTTGTTTTGTTTTTAATTGCTAGAGAGTGCATGCGCTTGCCAAAGAGGGAGTAAGAGGAAGGAGAAAGGACCCCCAAGGGGGCGTGGTCACACTGCAATCCCTTCTCCTCCATTTCTCCATCCCGCTGGGATTTTAGGCACACATACACACATGCACAGGGTGTTTTTCAGGCTGCCAGGACCACGATTCCAACTGCCCAGTCAGCCATGTCGGAGCCAGCTCCCTCAACCACTAGGCTGCGGGCCGGCCCAGAAATGCACATGTCGAAGGACACACCAAAGGGACTTGGAGAGGAGAGAGGAGCAAGCTCAGAGATGGGGTGGGGAAAAACAAAGAAAGAGGTCCAGAAACTCGTGTGTTCAGCAGCCATGGGCTATGAGGATGAATGAGGGATCAAACCTGGGGATCCAGACTTTCTAGCTAGTGATGTTTCATCTGAGACCTGAACAAGGGGAAGTACGGAGGTCAGAAAGGAGCATGCACACAGGAGGAGCAGCAGGGGTGAAGACCCAGAGGTGCCAAGGACAGCCCCAGAGAGGAACTGCAGCCCAGGCAGCACGTGATGAGGCTGCAGAAACGGGGGTGCCCTGCGGCCCTGGCATAGACTCTGGATTTCTTCCAAAAGCTTTAAGGCGCTATTCAAAGGTTTTCAGCAGGGCTGGGAGGACACAAGGAGCCCAGTACCGGGACAGTTTCCCTGTGCTTCCCTGGTGGAGGGAGAGGGGAAGGAGCGTCACAGCCTGAAGCACCTGCAGCTGAGATCATTTCTATATAAGTAAGTGCTCAGGGCCTGCTGGGGGCATGGTGGCTGAGACAGCTGGATCCCATATGATCGACTTTGTGGTTCGAGTCCCAGACTTGGCAGGTTGAGAAACACACTAGGTGCATATGTGCGCATGTCCAAAATCCTGAGAGGAGAATAGAGGAGAAGGGATTGCAGTGTGGCCTCCCCCCTGAGAGGTGATTCCTCGCTTTCTGTCTCTTTGGCGAGTGCACATGCCCTATAGCAAAAATCTCTCCAAAAATGAACAAAAACATGGTTGCTGCATCAAAAAAAGCAGGAGACTGAATGAGAGTCACAGGACAAGGCAGTCTTGTCAGTTGAAACTCAGTCACACCCGAATGCCATCATGTGTTTTACAAGATGTGTGTGTGTGTGTGTATGTGTGTGTGTGTGTGTGTGTGTACATAAGAGATAAGAGATTTTTGCTATAGGGTATGTGCACTCACAGGAGACACAGAGAGAGACAGAGAGAAAGTGAGAAATCACTTCTCCCCAGTGGGAAGGGATGGGGGGTGGGGGGAGGGATGGCCACCCCTCAATCCCTTCTCCTCCATTCTCCTCCTGGGATTTTAGGCACACACACACATAGCCCTGGCATGAGTTTTAAGCTGCCAGGTCTGGGACTTGAACTGCAGTTGACCATGTGGGAGTCCAGCACCTTAATCACTGTGTCACTTGCTGGCCCCAGCTATGCACATGTATTTTTAAAATTTTGCCAGAGGGTGTATGCACTCACTTGGGAGAGATGAAGGGCAGGAGGAATGAGCAAGCACCCATCCATGGGGAGTGGCCATGCCACAGTTTCTTCCACTCCATCTCTCCTCCCTTTAGGGTTTTGGGGCCTGCATGTACAGGTGCCCAGAGTGTTTCCAAAGCCGCTGAGTCCAGGATTTAAACCAAGCAATCAGCCAGGTGGGATCCAGCTGCCTCAACCACCACACCATGGGCTGGCCCTGTTTTGTTTTGTTTTTAATTGCTAGAGAGTGCATGCGCTTGCCAAAGAGGGAGTAAGAGGAAGGAGAAAGGACCCCCAAGGGGGCGTGGTCACACTGCAATCCCTTCTCCTCCATTTCTCCATCCCGCTGGGATTTTAGGCACACATACACACATGCACAGGGTGTTTTTCAGGCTGCCAGGACCACGATTCCAACTGCCCAGTCAGCCATGTCGGAGCCAGCTCCCTCAACCACTAGGCTGCGGGCCGGCCCAGAAATGCACATGTCGAAGGACACACCAAAGGGACTTGGAGAGGAGAGAGGAGCAAGCTCAGAGATGGGGTGGGGAAAAACAAAGAAAGAGGTCCAGAAACTCGTGTGTTCAGCCGGTGACAGGCACTTTCCTGGGCAGTCACTCAGAGTCCTCAAGACAACATAACATGTATTGTCCCCGTTTAATGAGGAGGAGGGACACTTAGAGGGGAGGCGACTTGTCTAAGGGCTCCCAGCTCATGGAGACAGAGCAGGGGGCCAAAAAGCAGATGGTGTAGTACAAACCATTTCACCAGGGAGGAGCCGGGCAGACCTAGGCCAGGAGGCCAGCTCTACCAAATCCTAACTGCAGGGCTGAGCAGTCCCCTCACCTCACTAGCCTCGGTTCCCCACAGGAGAACAACATAGCTTCATTCTCTGGAGCATAGCGCCTGGTGCCTGGCCCACCGCCGTGCTCCTGGAGGTGGCACTGCCTGTGTCTACAGCCTAGCTGTCCCTGGGGTTAGATGGAGGGAGAAGAGGAGTGGGGGATGAGGAAGCCCCGCAGCCCCCTTGGCCGGCCCTCTCCTGTCCTCTCATGCTGGCCCTCTGTCCGCTGTCTACTTCCCCTCTCCACTCGGCCCTTCCCCAGCAAAGACAGGCACTGCTTCGATGCCCGGGCTCTGGACTCCTGGAACAAGCTGTGCCTGGCAACTCTCCTGGACACTGACGTGTCCAACCCCATGGAGTACGAGTTCAGCTTCCAGCTGGAGATCCGCGGGCCATGTCTGCTCGCAGGTGAGTGGGAGCTGCCTCCACTGGAAGGGGAGCGCTTCCAGCAAGAGCCGCCAGAGACAAGAGAGGACAGGGAGGGCAGGAAACCTCCTGGTCCAGACCAAGGCACACTGAAGCACACAGAGTTTATGGACCCCTGTTTCCCACTCCTTGAGGAGCAGTCCAGAGATGAGCCCCTCCCAGGCCAGCTTTCAAGGCCCCCCCAGCTCCATGTCATCGGCCTCCTCCAGGAAATGCCTATCACAGGTGTTTGTTGTTGGCCTCCTGCGAGCCACAGCCCATAGGGCTGTCCCCTGGTTCTCCCCTTGTCTGCATATCAGGGTCCCCTGGGAGCTTACAGACCTGCCGCAGCCTCATCTGCCCCAGAGAGTCTGGGGTGTGTCCTGGTACGGGGATATTAAACCTCCCCACGGGTCTAACATGCATTGCTCTCACTTACCGTGACCCGTGGGGGTTTGAAAGGACACTGGGATGTGGCTCCCATCAGCAAGTGCTCTCTGAGCAGCCCTACGTTCCAGTGTAAGACACAGCTATGGCGCTCCCACCCCTAAGGCCCCTGAGCCCTGAGCTCTGTCGGTCAGTCTGACGGCATGCCAGGCGCTGTGTGCACTGAGAGGGAGCGACTCCTCTGACCCTACTGGATCCCGGGGTCAGGGCAGGAAGAGCCGTCAGACGCGGTTGATCTAAGCCACGGTTTACAGGCTGCCCAGCGGGTCAGGAGCCCCCAGTGAGCTGGCACGGGGGTCATCTGTGGTCCGGGACTCGGTGTCATTCCTGGGGACCCTAAGCCTACCCCCATCACTCTGTGCCCCTCAGGGGTGGAGAGCCCCACCCATGAGATCCGCGCGGACGCAGCCCCGTCTGCCTGCTCTGCTAGGAGCATCGTCATCACCCTGGCTGACAAGCACACCTTCGACCGGCCCGTGGAGATCCTCATCCACCCCAGTGGTACGGTGCCCGGAGGGCTGCCTGGGCTGCCTGGGCTGCCTGCGGGCAGGAGGAGGACCCTGTGGGGAAGGACATGTGGGCCCTCCCAGAGCCTAGTCAGGGCAGTGATGGGGGTGGTGCGCAGGGGAGAAGAGACCTGCTGCTTGCCTCTGGGAAGCCTGCCTCTGGCTGGCAGAACCGAGGGTTTCCTGCCCTTAGTCAAGCTCCAAAGGCCTCGCAGTCGACCCACCGGGGCCCTTTGTCCCCAGGTCAGCTGAGCAGAGAATCTCTGAAGCCCTAAGCTGGGTGAGACACTGGCAGCTCTGGACCCTCAGGTAGCAGCTTATTGTCTCTTCAGAAACTCACAGATGTTCTGGAAAGATCAGAGAGTCATTTAGCCCAGTCCCATTTCAGAGGCCCAGGGAAGGGTAGTGAGTGCCCCAGGACCACTGGGCTCTCCTGCCCCGCCCCCAGCTAAGGAGTCTTCCCATGACCCCACACCACTGCCAGCAGCCAGGGCTCCACCACCTCTTCCCCCGGGAGTCCAGCTCCCTGTGGAAGTCTTGCCCATAAACCAAGGCCCCTGGCAGGTGCTGAGAGGTAGTCTCGTCTCTGCAGAGCCCCACATGCCACATGTCCTGGTGGAGCAAGGGGACATGACCCTGGGAGAGTTCGCCCAGCACTTGAAGGGAAGAACGGATTTCATTAAAGGGACGAAGAAGGACAGCAGTGCGGAGCGCAAGGTGAGGGTGTCGGGAGCAGGAGCAGATGCTGGCAGAGTGGGGTGGCTTGGAAACTTGGTCCTGAGGGACTGAACCAAGGAGGGGACTGGGCCCGAGGTGGGGGAGGAGAAAGCTGTGTCAGAGCTGGGACAAGCGTTCCCTTCAGCGGTCCGGACACTGCGGGGCAGATAGAAGATGGACTTCCGGACACAGCAGCGCCCCTGCTCTGTCCTTCCACTTCCTGCTGGGCCACTTTTCCCGGTGCCTCCAAGATGTCTAAACCAGGCACAATTCACAGCTAGTGGCTGCCCACGCCTGAGGGGTGCCCAGGACCCTGTAGCCGGGTGCCCTTCCAGCTTCCTCTCCCTCCACGGCCTCTCTTCCCACCTGCCGAATGGGTCCTTCGCTCCTTCCCTCCGCCCTCTGAGGGCCTCACCTGTATTACATGAAAGATAAAGCAAGCAGGGAAGCCTGGGAAAGAGCCTTTCCCTCTGCCCACCCCTCACCCTGCCCCTGCTCTCAAAGCTAAAGGGCAAGGAGTCCGAGAGGGTGGAGGGAGAAAGGACTGCGTGGAAGGGGAGGGGTGGCCACAGCTGCACCCAGTGAGGTCTCCCGTGCATGCGGCCTGGCACGCTCAGCTGGGTCCTGATGCCAAGATAGGTATAAGAATGACCTCTTTTTACCGGCCCTCTTTTTAGGTGAGAAAATCAAGATTTAGCACCCAAAGACAACCAGGGACCTAGAGGAAGGGGGAGATGGTCTTTCTCTCAGGAGTTAGGTTTGGTGCTAACTCCGAGAGGAGACTAGATCACGTGAAGGCAGTTTCAGAGGATTCAGCAGCCCCTCCCATT